GATTCGATGCGTGAATCGAATGATTCGATGCGTGAATCGAATGATTCGATGCGTGAATCGAATGATTCGATGCGTGAATCGAATGATTCGATGCATCATTCGATTCACGCATCGAATGATTCGATGCGTGAATCAAATAATATGCGATAAATCGAATGTTATATGTGATAAATCGAATGTTATATGCGATAAAATCAACCATAAAACAAAAATCGAATTATGACACAAACAACATGCCATACATTACTGGGTCCATCAATGACTATACGATGTGTATGGCGAGATTTGCTGCCACTGCACTAGCAGCTAGTCCGCTCGCGCTCACATTTCATCTACGCATAAAGATATAATATTATAATATATAAAGATATATAGATTTATAGAGTGTAAACGTGTATCGGGCGAACTAGATCCTGCATCCAGTTCTTGCTGTGTTGTTACGCGCTGCGTGAGATCTGTTGTGTTTGCAGCGCATGAGTGATGTATGGAAATATGGCGACACGCGTGGAATGAGACCAGGAGACTTGCTTATCGAAATGCGCGAAAATATACGAGAGACTTTTCATCGAGGCATTTCCGCAAAACATTCAGTCAAGGTAATCACTTGGCGAAAATTGTCTAAAATTAACACAACCTATTGAAAATTGATTCTTAATCTAGTGTAATAACTTACATTCAACTCCGATTGTATAGTTGAACTCCTTTGGTTCCTGCAGCGTTACATGCGTTACTCGGCAGACGACGGTATAGCCATGGATGTATCGGAAAATCTTGCGTATGTGATGTGTTACGCCGGTGTTCCACCTCTTCACCATGGATCCCGGAGTGACGTCAACCTTGTCGACTTCTAACGCCGTCTCCTTCTAACAACAGTAGACATATGTAGCAGTTGTTAGCCGTTGTTAGCAGTTGTTAGCAGTTGTTAGCAGTTGTTAGTAGTTGTTAGCAGTTATTAGTAGTTGTTAGCAGTTGTTACTATTTGTTAAAACGTGTTAGCAGTTGTTAACAGTTGTTAACAGTTGTTAACAGTTGTAAACAATTGTTAACAGTTGTTAGCAGTTAGTGTAAGAGACACGGTGATTAGCGCACCCCACCTCCCTGGATTTTATCATATAATATATAAATGCAAGATTTGCGATATATGCACACGTATACGCACGCACACACGCACGCACAAACGTACGCACGCAAACACATTGGAACACATATAAACGTGCGTAAGTCTATTAATTAATTAATGATTTTGTTTGTTTGTTTTTACATGCACTGTAAGACGAAGCACGAGCCAGAGATAGGGAATATACGAGAACGAGTAGTTATGTCGTTGGTTAGAATCACGTGTGTGCTCACTCCGTCCGTGTCGACCCACGACATCTGCATGTGCGTTTCCGGGTTGCTGTCCGTCGTCACGCACGAGATGTTGCCGTAACTGTTTACTACGAAGTCAGCGCCCGCTCCCGGCGCCACGGCTCCGTCGTTGCTCGTCTCGACGTACATGTCGATAATTTTTGCTGTAAAGCGCGTAACAGACATGTCACATAGTGATAGCTGACGTCTGGTTACACAAAGCAGTAGCTTAGCTACTTAAGTTATATATATATATATGTATATATATGTGTGTGTGTGTGTGTGTGTGTGTGTGTGTGTGTGTAGTGTGTGTGTGTGTGCGCGTCGTGTCGTGTGTGTGTG